AGTTAAGAATTGGTGAACAGATTAGGGTTGAAACCGCGACGTCATCCAAGTCCATACAAGATGCAATGGCTCAATGACTGTGGTGTGCTGCGTGTTAATCATGTGGTGACTATACCCTTCTCTGTTGGGAAGTATAATGATCAGGTGGAATGTGATGTGGTGCCTATGCAAGCATGCCGGCTGCTGCTAGGGAGGCCATGGTTATTTGATCGTGATGTTCAGATCTTTGGAAGAACCAACAAGCTGTCTTTCATGTACAAAGGAGAGCGAAATTCTTTGCTTCCTTTAACACCGGAGGAAATTTTGAAGGATGATCTTAAGAAGAAACAGCGAGAGAGCGAGAACCACCTGTGAGTGACCCACAAAAATAGTGAGGGAGAGATTCCAAAACCAAATAAAACCCCACAGCCTCAAAGAACCAAGACACCAGGAAAAGAGGGTTTAGTTATGATGGCTAGGAAAGGGGATCTAAAAGAATTGAGTGAACCCAATGCCATGTTCTTCGTACTCCTGTACAAGGACACTCTTCTTTCTACTAACAACTTACCCTCTACCCTGCCAAGTGTTGTCTTTGATGTGTTACAGGAATATGAGGATGTGTTTCCGGATGAAGTGCCACCAGGACTACCACCTAAGAGAGGAATCGAACATCAAATTGATCTAGTGACTGGTGCTTCACTCCCAAACCGTGCTGCCTACCGCACCAACCCAGAAGAAACCAAGGAGATTCAGTGACAAGTGGAAGAATTGATGAGAAAAGGGTACGTACAAGAAAGTCTGTCACCTTGTGTTGTTCCTGTCCTTTTAGTTCCTAAGAAAGATTGGTCTTGGCGGATGTGTGTGGATTGCTGAGCAATAAATAACATTACCATAAGGTATAGACACCCCATCCCTCGGCTGGATGATATGCTTGATGAACTTAGTGGTGCTATCATATTCACTAAAATTGATTTAAGAAGTGGATATCACCAGATTCGCATGAAAGAAGGAGATGAATGGAAAACAGCTTTTAAAACAAAATTTGGGTTGTATGAATGGTTGGTAATGCCTTTTGGGTTAACCAATGCACCAAGTACGTTTATGAGATTGATGAATCATGTGCTTAGAGCTTTCATTGGCAAGTTTGTTGTCGTTTACTTTGATGACATCTTAATTTACAGCAAGTCTCTTGATGAACATGTTGAACATATCCAATGTGTGCTTGCTATCCTACGTGAACAGAAATTGTATGCTGACCTTGAGAAGTGCACCTTTTGCACCGACAAGGTAGTCTTTCTTGGATTTGTTGTTACAGGACAAGGAGTGGAGGTAGATGAAGAAAAGATCAAGGCTGTACGAGACTGGACGCCTCCACAGAACGTGAGCCAAGTAAGAAGCTTCCTTGTACTTGCTAGTTTCTATCGGCGGTTCGTGAAGGATTTCAGCACTATTGCTGCACCAATCAATGAGTTGACCAAGAAAGAAGTGCTTTTCAAGTGGGGAGAAGCACAACAGAAGGCATTTGAAGAATTAAAGATGAAGTTAACAACAGCCCCAGTCCTTGCACTCCCAGATTTTGGTAAGACATTTGAAATAGAATGTGATGCAAGTGGAGTTGGGATTGGAGGTGTGCTCATGCAAGGACGAAGGACAATTGCATACTTCAGTGAAAAGCTAAGTGGTCCAACTCTAAATTATTCAGTTTATAATAAAGAATTATATGCTCTTGTTCAGAGTTTGGAAACTTGGCAACATTACCTTTTTCCTAAAGAATTTGTGATACATTCAGATCATGAATCATTGCAACACCTTAAAGGACAACTAAAACTGAATAGAAGGCATGCAAAATGGTGTGAATTCATTGAATCATTTCCCTATATTGTCAAGTACAAGAAAGGAAAAGAGAATGTTGTAGCAGATGCTTTGTCTCGACGTCACACTTTGCTAATCCAACTTGACGCTAAGATTCTTAGATTAGAAAGCATAAAAGATTTATATGCAACTGATTCATATTTTGCTGAACCATATTTCAAGTGTCGAGATGGCAAAGGATGGGAAAAATTTCATGTGCATAATGGGTTTTTGTTTCGAGCTAACAAACTTTGTATTCCAGATTGCTCTGTTCAAATTTTACTTATGCAGGAAACCCACGCAGGAGGACTCATAGGCCATTTCGGCGCTAAGAAGACAGAACAAGTCCTTACCGACCACTTCTTTTGGCCAAAGATGAGAAGAGATGTGGAGAGACATGTGCTTCGCTGCGAATCATGCCACAAAGCTAAGTCTCATGTGAACCCTCGTGGATTATACACTCCTCTACCTATCCCTAGTGTGCCTTGGGAAGATATCTCCATGGATTTTGTTCTTGGTTTACCTCGAACCAAGCGGGGAAGGGATTCCATCTTTGTTGTGGTTGATCGTTTTAGCAAAATGGCACATTTTATCCCATGCCACAAGAGCGATGATGCTTCACATATCGCTGAATTGTTTTTCAAAGAAATTGTATGACTACATGGAGTGCCACGAACCATTGTTTCTGATCGTGACACCAAATTTTTGAGTTACTTTTGGAAAACTTTGTGGGGAAAGCTTGGAACACGGTTGCTGTTCTCTACGACGTGTCATCCACAAAAGGATGGACAAACTGAAGTTGTGAACCGTACTCTATCAATGCTACTGCGAGCTATCCTCAAGAAGAACTTGAAACTTTAGGAAGAAAGTTTGCGACATGTCGAGTTTGCATACAACAGGGCAGTACACTCGACCACTAAATTTTGTCCATTTGAAATTGTATATGGGTTCAAACCCACTGCTCCCATAGATCTTTTGCCTTTACCTATGCAGGAACGTGTAAACTTTGATGCAAGCAAGCGAGCCGAGTTTGTCAAGAACCTTCATGATAGAGCTCGGACAAACATTGAAAAGATGACCAGGATGTATGAGAAGCACGCCAATAAAGATCGAAGGAAGGTGTTATTTGAACCAGGAGACTTGGTTTGGGTGCATCTACGCAAGGACAGATTTCCTGAACAACGCAAAAGCAAGTTGCAAGCCCGAGCTGATGGTCCATTCAAAGTGCTACGCAAGATCAACGACAACGCTTATGAAATTGATCTACCTAGTACTTATAGTGTGAGTACCAGTTTTAATGTGGCCGACCTCTCTCCATTCTTTGGATTGGAAGAGTCGAGGATGACTCTTTTCCAAGGGGGGGAGGATGATGTGACCACGCCAGCGTCGAGAGCCTCGGCGACCTCTCCGACCACCTCACCGACCTCGTCGAACTCACCAGCTGCTTCCCCGACCACTACACCACTCCAAGTCCCTACTGGACCAATCACCCGTAGCCGCGCCAAAAAGATACAACAAGAGGTGCACGCGCTACTTTGTGCATTTCAATTAAACATTGATGGTAATTTCGAGCTACCTAAGTCGTGCATATTGTTATTACTCAGGTTCTCCGAGAAGAAAGACAAGGATACATCAAGGATGGATCAAAAAGAAGAGCTACGTTCGAGTCAACCCAGCATGACAGAACCATCCAGAAGAAACAGTCATATCTTTTGTCTCCCAAAAGCTATGAAGGTGAATGAGCACTTGTTGGAGAGATCTTGAAGCCTAGTTTCCAATGCTGTCATGCCCGACCAGTTTGGAGTGTCTAGCGTGGTGTCCGACCAGTTTTAGTGAAGACTGCTCCAAAGCTCAACAGTCTGCATGAAGCTAAAGATCCCGTGCAAAACTATACCATTCTACAGTAATTCGTGGTGCATAGCATACATGGTTGGTAAGATGATGAAGTTAGCTTTCCAACGCATCCAACGGTTCGTCATTTGGATTTCCCAGGAAGGAGTTATGACCAAAATATTGAAGACTGCACAGAAGCCCAGAAGACGCGTGGGAACTGAAGACCACCTCGTGAATGCTCTAGCCAGTTGTTCTTCCACCTCCCAACGTGGCTTCTTCAGTTCACATCTATCTTAGAGGGTTCTCATAGTATAAATACCACCTCTAGGCTACTAGAAAAGAATTTTTTGATGATTTGATAATTCAAGTGATATTGCAGCCGAGTGCTTACTCAAACCCTTGTTCTTCCTTGTTCTTCCTGGACTTGTGAAGAGATCCCTCTGGGATCCACTAGTTCGTGCTTTGCGGGTTCCAGTACGACTGCCCCGCCTTGTGTGGATTAGCTCCAGTTGTGGTTCTGCGGTCGTTTGGAGATCGAGTCAAAGTCTTCGTGGTTTCGGTGCCTCTCTCCCCGTCGCTTGGTCGCATCCAACCTTGGCCTCCGCTGTTCTTCAGCAAGTTACCCTTTTATCCCCGCTGCCTTGTTGCAAGTTATCTTGATCGTGACCTATTGTCGTGAAGATCGGGCCAACTCCCGTACTGAAATAGTTCAGTACTTATCACCCTCTTTGCCGAGTGTTTCTTTTTGACACTCGGCAAACCCCCCTCTTTACTGAGGGTTTTTGTTTTGCCGAGTGTTTTTACCACAGCAATCGGTAAAGAATTTGTTTGCCGAGTGTCCGAGAGAATACACTCGGCAAACATAAAAACACTCGGTAAATTTGAGGTTTTTCGGTAGTGCTAGCTGCTATGTTTTGGTATGGTGTAAAGTTTGAAATTAGGGAATGCATCCAGGTGTGGTGTGTGTGTATCACATAACGCATTTATCAATAAGAAGAAAGGTGCTCTTTGGTACAGTGAGTGATAATGCAATGGGAAATGGAATCAGATAATAGTGTAATCGAAGCTAGGGATGCTTGGTTGCCAGCTAGCTTTATATGGAAATGGTTACAGACCGTAGGAAGCAAACAGGTGTAAAGGTAATGTATACGTTACATTTTTGCAAACCAAACAGCTCGAAAGATGCATAGAGTTTGTTCTGTGCTAGCTTTATCAAATTAAACACATGTATTATATCCGAACTTCATCATTCCGTACAACTTGATTCTGCACAAAAGTATAAGAGGCCTCTAGTGCCATATATTATTATACATAGTTTGGACTCCCCTTCAAGGGCATCAATACAATACAATACAATAATATAACATATTATTCTTCGGATTCGGAATCCTCATCATCATCAGAAGAAGAATCTTCGTGTTTATCTTCTCTGGCTTCCTCAGGTTCGTCTCCTGGTCTCTCATGTTGCGGGGACATTGGGGTACCAAGGGCACACGGGGGGGCCATGATGGGCCGTAGTATGGAGGGCACACGGGGGGTATGATGGGTGGTAGTATGGAGGGCACACGGGACAGCACGGAGGCGGAGCCCAGAAGCGGTGGCTTCGCGTCATCCTTCTTCTTCTCCTCCTCCTCCTTCTTAGGCTTCGCAGCAACGAAGGAGATGCTCTTTGCTTTTTCTCCAATGCAAAACGGGCCAGCATGTTGGATAAGCATCCACAGCACGGTGGTGAGGTCGCCACCGGCGCTGAGCTGCTTGGCATGGGCCTCCCTGCTGCACCGGACGGCCGCGTACACCAGCTTATCCACCCACACATTGAAGATGAACTCCAGCATCTCATCTGATACCCGCGGGGCAGCTCGGCTTTCTACTGTAGTAGGTCGCTTGTCGCCTGATAGGCAAAAATAAAGGTCTTGTGCATGCAGGAGAAGTTGCGTACCTTCGTTGCCTTCAATTTTATCCTCAGACGGCACATTCTCGTCGTCCTCCACGATCCTTACGCGTCGCAGGATCATGGCAAGCTTTTCTTTGTTATTCATGATTGATTTTTCTCGATCGGGTAGTATCTTACTACGCTGACCCCCATCCCATATTTCAACCAATTTCTTGCGGGTTACCTGCAACTGGCTGTGGAGGACAAGGCCAGGTAGCATTTGTCGGCGAACAGCAACAAGGAACATCATGTATTCCGACATCACCCCAATTGCCGACGCAAGTCTTCTTCTTCCGTCCGTGAGGACCACCAGGACCATGCAGGTGGCGATATGCCACAAGATGACGTCCTCCTCGAATTCCTCGCCGAAAAGATGCGATAAGAGGACGTCCTCCTCGAATTTCTTTTTGACTTGCTCAGGTGCACAGCTGAAGGCCTTGTGGCCGTGCTTTTTTAATTTCTTTTTGACTTGCTCGTCCTTTTTTAATTTATTTTTGACTTGCTCAGGTGCACAGCTGAAGGCCTTGTGGCCCCAGCGTGTCCTGATGTCCATCCTGGTGTACTTCTCCTCCTTCTCCTTCTCCTGACCAACTTGTTTTTCCTCAGTATTAATGGCCTGCTGCAATATTTCCGTCACTCGCTGGAACAGCTCTTTCTTTACGCATTGAGGATGCTTAGACAGATACCGCAACTCCTTGGGTCTGTCGTCTCCAGGCATGGACACCGGCCACCACTCTGGACAAGTCGTAGGGGTGGCAGTGCACTCAGTGCCGGTCCTGGGATTGTCGAGGCATAGAGCCAAACTCAAACTCAGGCCCTCTTAATATAAAAATCATATCAATAATACTAAATTTATAATGGATACTCTCTGACTCATTAATTCATTTACTTTTATAAAAGTGGTTTTTAAGTATCTCCTCTTGAGGAGCTATTCTATCATAACTGGTTTGGCAAAAAAAATATGTTTCATATAGATTTCTTAGCTTGTATGACTCTTAAAAGATTTATAATGGATACTCTCTGACTCATTAATTTATTTACTTATTTCTTCTTACTCTTTTTGGTCTCATTTTCTCATTTCTGGAAGACTATTTTTGACATAACATGGTGGTGTTGAAATTTAATAAACAGACAAAAGAAGCAAATGAAACAAAGTATAATGAATAAATATAGATTGTTATTACGGGCTGCTACTTTCTAGCACTAGCAGCTACTAGCTTTCAAGGTGGATGTCAATACGTATATACATCGTACATACCTGGGCACCCTTGATCTGGGGGGCCTGGAGCGGCTGCCCCGTTTGCCCCCCTCCAGGGCCGGGCCTGAGTGCACTCGTCCAGCAAGTTGTACCGGCCGATGGTGCCCGACCACCGCCTGTGGCTGACCGGATCGCGGCAGAATAGCTGCAACGGGTCCAGGCGGACGACGATGCGGTGGATGCTGCACCACCATCTTCTTCCGGCGGCCTGGAAGTAGGCGTACGCCCATGTCGACCCGAGGGCCCTCATCAGCCATGCCACATCCATGAGGAAGGTAATGGCCAGCAAGGCGTAGGTGATCCCGACAAAGGATCCCCTGACCCGGTGGCCATCATCGCCCTGCTGCTGCTTATCAGGATGAAGCCAGAAGCAGAAGAGAAATGCGGCAGCAGCAGTGAAGAGGGGCGACAACAAGCGGATGAGGTAGTAGTGCCAGGTGTGTGCCAGGATCGCCTTGGTGTAGAGGAACTCGTAGATGAGGGACAGCTCCATCTCGGCCACCATGCACATGCTCTCCCAGTCCCACTCCGAGAGTATCATCTCGCTGGCTTTCTGCATTGGTGAAGCTGGATTGACAGAAGAATCGACCAGGGCATGGCGCCAGATGGGGAACAGATCCTGAGCAAGGAGCAGCGCTTCTCCGTCGCGGAACGACTGCCCCTGCCTCTTCGCCCTCTTGATTCTGCATTTCAGCATCTTAATGTCGTCCTTGCTGCTGCTTGACGAGGCGTCCTCCTGCATGCTGTCCAAGTTGGCTTTCCGTAGGGCGTTCGCCCTCTCCACGTACCTGACGGCGCCGGCGACGAGCATGACGACGGACGCCGCGAGCAACAGAGCCCAGCTGCGGCCGCCGCGATGTGTGTTGTTGTAGATGGTATAAATGACCCCCAGAATCCGAACGACTATCTCAAGCCATTTTCGGTTGGAGATCTTGTTGTCCTCCAGAGCGTAGGCGGTCAGGTTGTCCGGGCCGCCCAGGTGCAGCAGGAGGAACGGGGCCCAGAACGCGACCACCTGCTTCTCCTCCTCCGACGCATCGGAGCCGCAGAGGGACAGGCTGCCGAGTGCGCTCGTCGTCGCTGCCTCAGCGACCTGGTACGCAAGCCAGACGACCAACTTAGCCACCTCGCCTAGTAACGCCCACAACCAGCGGGGCGCCGAGCGCCGCCGTGTCCCGGACAGGATGCCGACGACAAGATTTGCCCCTAAGCTCGAGACGACAGCGATCCGGAACCCCCATTCGCTCCACCACTGCAGCGACTGTGCCAAAATCATGGTCAGGATCATTCCGAGCCAGAACATGGTCGATGCACAAGAGCGGGCGGCCTTCCAATTAAGCTGCCTGCGACCTGCTGCACCCATATATATCAAACTTACTACAGCATGAGACCTGCTGCATTGACTTTCTCCTTATTATTATCAGTGAAAAGAGATACATGAATCTATATGCATATACCGTGTGGCCGGGCCGGCTGCTCCCCAGATCAATCAGTCAATATATGCAACTGATAGTATATCTACATTCGTTTTGTAATAATATACTACAATAATAACAGGATATCGTTTAGTCGATGCAACTGATAGTATATCTACATTCATTTTGTAATAATATACTACAATAATAACAGGCTATCGTTTAGTCGATGCAACTGATAGTATAAAAGTTGACATGTCATGTAAACACAAATTAAATGTGATATAGCCCACTCGTTACATATATACTAGTCTTCTCTACAAATTTGATTAAACTTAAAATGATTTGACTTAGACAACTGAAAATTCATTATATTTTAGGATTGAGAGAGTATGTATATATTACTATATATTGTTTTCTAACAAAAAGTATATACAACAACTACTAGCTCCACCTAAAAAGAAGGGGGCAAAGGTTAGAGATTCTGGTTTGAAAAAAGAAGAATTCTTAATTAACTCCATGCTAGCTAGGGATCAAAAGCAAATAAATACTACCAAGAAAATATGCTTTGCCCAATATCTCTAGTTGCAACGTTCTTTTCAAGTTCTTTATCACCCTGATGGACTACAATATGTATATATTGTTCGATCATAAGCTGTTTTGCTGGGGAGCACCAACCTAAGAAAGTCTGAGTAAAACAATCATATATCAAAGTAGTATATAACTATTAATCAAGAGACAACATTAATGTGATTTTTTAGAAGGCTCCTGATCGATAAAATTTTTAGAAACTCTGGGGCTGTTCAAGAAGAGAAAGTGAAACAAGTTTTCAGCAAGGAATAGAGAGAAAGGGGTCTTTATTATAGCTTGGCGTTTGGAAATGTATTTTATATATGCATGTTTATTTGGAAAATAATGAGATAGAACGTTTCTCCCCTCCTAATTTCTCCTCTGCCTTATCTGTCATCTAGTATGCTAAGAGCCAACAATGGAGATTGGAGAACTAAGCATGGTGGCAACCACCTTGCACGTTCTAAGATGCCAAGCTTTAGTTACTGTGCTCATTAAGTGCTCATGATAACTTAATTAGCAGTACACATTATAAGCTAATCTATTCCAGCTCACATGGGAACCTCAGCGGCTCGATCAGCCCTTCTTGTTTTTTGTGTGATGTTTTAAAAGAAACAAACAATTGAGAATGGTACCAATTGTTTTACACTGACCATAAACAGTACACTGATGTTTAGGCTACTTTTATCTTTCTTCTATTAAAAAAATGATGGGTCAGATATGGGTGACCTAGTTTTCATCTCTACAAGAGCCCTCATTATTCTTTTGGAGAGAGTTGACTTTGCTTCAAGAGAACTTTGCAAATGATCGAAGACACCAAGTTGCTCACATGACCCCAACAATAAAATGGGCTCACATGCTCACTCTTTGGGCTCTTTCTATCATATCTTTTATGGCAAGTAGGATAGTTTAATCTTCATTGATAGTTTAACTGGTTAATGCTTCAAGCAGTTCTCGTTCAAGGTTGTGGAATGGTCTCCAAGTTTTTTTCTCCCCCAATATTTTGCAAATTCTTTAGTGGCTAAATGCTTCAGCAAATTGATTATATTCTTAATATTAACTTCACATTCGCATAGAAAGAATATCCCTATTTCCTTTGTTTATGGTTCACACAGATCAGCGAATTTAACATCAATCAATTCCTTCACTGAAGTTGAATTTATTTTCAGAGGGTTATATATTAGAAAAATGGATTTTTCTTACCTTTTTTATATATTTTTAAAAGGCATCTTAATCAGGATCTTTTTTCTTCTTCCAGCATTTGCCAAATCACTCCTAATAATGGATCTAGAAGTACTCTAAGTAGAGCTTCTTTGGATATTTTATTGGACTGCTACAAGTTTAATTTATTGACATTATTATGGTTGGCATATTGTCTACCAGCCTACCACACCAATTATAATTAGGATATTCTTTCTATATAAATTACAGTACAATGCTCACAAACTGACCTTTCTTTTAATTATTTGGCAAATCCGCTTCCTTATATTTTCTCCCAAAGCAACATTGCTTATATGCAATTGGTGGTCCAAAGCATGTTAGTGGTATGCAAGTAGTGGAATAAATTCAAATGAGTTCTCCCTGGGATTTATCAGCATGCATGCTTGCCCTACTTCTTTTGTAGCAACATCAGATCTAGCTGTCAGAATGCATTAGATTATAGCTGCTTGGCCTTTGGAGTACAAATCGACCATTATACAAACCAGTAATGTAACCTAACCAGCTGTGTGTACACTCAGTTATATGACCATAAGCAGAGACTGCTTGGAGCATCTTGGCAAAAAGTTGATAATCATAGGTGTACTAGGTAGCGTGCCTGTGCGTTGCTATGGGATAGCTAACATTTTATACTTAAAATACACGGATCGCACGATAAGATAACAATACTGTAAAAATTAAATACCAATGTTAAAATGATATTTAATCCAAAAAACAAAGTGTGTGAAATTAACACAAGTCACGGAGAGCACGGCGTCGCAGGCTCACAAACTCTACTTTATAGATCTTTTCCGTGATGTGGCTAAGATAATGTTTTATATTGGTAGGAAGAAATTTTCGATATCCATTTCTTTCGTGCACCAATAAATCCATGAATAAGTTCCGCCACATCTTCATACCATCCTGTACACAGGTTCGAGTATATATGTAAATATTAGTGCCTGTCACATGGGTAATACTACACTATCTTATCTTGTTTGTAGGTGTTAGTCTTGTCTTACAATGGTGCATGAGAACAATTATTTTTCAGTGTAGAAATCAATAAGAGGTCGTTTGGATTAATAATTTGGAGCAAACTAATACAGAAATGATCTATATTTTTCTTCCATACATCAACATCCTGTCATTGAGAAAAGGTTGCAAGGTTTGTGGATTAATAACTTGAAGCAAACTAATACAGAAAAATGGTTATGATGTAAATTACTGCTGCCTCCTTCCTATCAATTAAACAGAATCCATTGCCAATTTCTTTTTTCACATCTAAAAGATCAACTTTATTTTCTCCCAATTTGAGTAGAAGAGTTATCTTGCTCTCTTCATGATGAGGACCTTGGTGGTTCATCAGCAAAACTTTGGTAGTAATATGCAAAAGAACCGAAGAGACTGGCACCTTCTTATGATCATGTGACGGCATTGGTGAGCCAGAGCCAGGAGGCCAGTATTCCAGTTTTTCATTATGGCTGCGCACCGCCAAAACCTAATTTCAATAGCCTTGCAAAAATAGCATAGTTTGTCTCTCCAGAAAAGAAATGGACAACACACATTCAGATAGCAGTTATGCAACAGGAAGTACGACAATAGGGTACTAAAAAATTGATGTTTGAGTAACCATTATATTCATAAGCTCATGTTTATATAACAGGGTTATCACTTAAAGCATTGTCACACTTAAAACACAATTAGTCATGCATAGTCTTCCAATTTTGTTTTTAGTGTGCACAGAAAAATATAAGAAAGAAATTGTTCTTATGTTCCTATGTCTACTGAAAGGGGGAGTTACAGATGTTGACAAATACATTTTTTTTTGTTTTGTTTTTTCTATGGCATTCGTCATCTGTATCAGAACAACCGAAACATCAACCAGTAGATTTTACTCACCTTATGTGGCTTTGGTCCCAATCAGGTAAGAGGAAGTTGAAACCTCCTACACAAAGATTATAATTAAATGAAAATATTTGATTCTGGATAATTTATTTTGCAGCACATGTCCTTAGTGTTCTAGAATGCTTCGGTGTAACACCAGACATATGCATCAATGAAATTTGACATAAACATGTGGTTGTGTGTTTATAAACAAATGATGTATGTATGTATGTATGTATGTGTTTTAGTAAATGTAAATGTATGTATGTATGTATGTATGTATGTATGTATGTATGTATGTATGTATGTATGCATAAAAAAAGTGATTATTGTAACTTTTACATACTAGCAATAATGTTTATATTTCTTTAAATAAAATAAGGAATAAGGGATGACAATTTTAATGACTATTGGAATATCTGAGAAGTTGAGAAAGTACTACAAGTAAAAAAAATGCACTAAGAATTAAGGGACAAAATAGCATCTTGACATAGAGTGCAATCAACATGGCACTGGGCCAAAGAGATCATACTAGAGGTCTGAAACCATCGCATTGCATGTGCATGTGCAAAGCAAGTAGCATGCAAAAACTGACAGAAACTTGGCAACAATTTAGGATTGCCGGCAGCCGGGCACATGATGCTAGCTTTTTTTTTTGCCATACCAATTTTTTTCTGAACAACTGTTAAGAATATCATTACCACAAATCCAGTAAAGCTATTTACTCAACCAAAAAAACATTATGCAATTCAAAAGGATATGACATCAATGTTCAGCTGGTCAATGTCGACCAAAAAAACATCTAATGAAATAAGGGCTATAGGCGTACCTTGAGCTAGTCAATGTCAACATTGTCTCATTGAAAGTCAACTCGATGGAGCTGCCAGACCTGCACCACCACGCCAAGAAGTGGATCACCATCTACAGCACAAGTAAGCAAAGACAAATGGACACCTATTGCCCTGCGTAGATTCATGGATACCACAAAATGCCATGATATTTTAAAATGGATTTTATAGTTAGCCCACCCACCCACCACAAAACTTTGTCCCTACAAAGAAAAGACATGGATAATGTTAGCAATGAGTAGATATTAAGGGTCACATAAGTACTATGAGGAAAGCAAAGTTCTACTCAATACAACAGCTATACCTGAATCAAATTAGTGTTAAGGTGGTGGAAATGAGAAGTCAGTAAGTCACTAATGGGAGTCCAATAATTGACGATGCACAGAAAA